GAGGATTCTTCGACATGCCTCAACATGTAATGATGTCCAACCACAGCCGATACAATGCCGTCAGAACTAAAAAGAAATACAAACATAAATGAATATTCTTAATAAAGTCCTTAAGCATTATATATGACGAAACATTCCAACAAAATGATCAATAAAATACACATTACACCTCACACTGCGGTAATTGCACTGGAATATCACGCAACACTCGCACTCAACATGACATTGATTATAAAACTCTAAGCATATATGAGTAGATATTTCTAAGCATAAATTACAATCCACTATATAAACCTCACAGTTCTACAGCTGCATTGTGGAGAGCACATTGACCAGCTGCATCATTGCAATATGGACCGCAAATGCCTGCAGAGAGTGATAACAACTAGGATCCTGCTGCCCTCTCTGCAGAGCATCTACAATCGCAGAGTCCAGAGCAGAGCTGCCTCCATCCTCAAAGACCCCCCACACCTCCAACGCAGACTGTTCACACTTCTGCCCTCGAGACAAATGTTAGAAGTGTGAAATCCAGAATGTCCCAACTCAACAACTCCTTCTTTCCCACAGTTATCAGACTCTTGAACAGCTGACCTACTTTAACTGCAATTTGCACATCAGGGCACTTTGCACACTAATTCATTTTGCACATTAAGCTCCTTTGTACATCTACATCGACATCTGGACACCTCACTTGTCTTCACTTACCTATTTTTGCACTTATTTATTTATCTTTCATTATTTTATCCTTTTTTTTTAATCCTTATTTATCTTAATATCTTGTCTTATTTTTATACTTATTTATCTTGTTCTTTCAACCTAACTTGGCAAATGAAGACTTTCAGTGCACAGAGAAATGCTCTTTCTTATGTACACATGACAATAAACACTTTTAATCTTGAATCTTGAAATACACTTGTTATAAGGCTGGGGAAACCTAAAGGAAGTGTTTGACAGTCAAACTGGCACTGTGACGCTGAAGCATTTTTTTTGTTCTGTTTTGCAGTGTTTTCTACTTCTGTTGTGTTTTATTCAAGTTTCTTAGTGATTTTTTGTCCTTTTGCAGCATTTTCCTTTATGTTATATATTCTTAAGTTACAGCTCGTTTGAGCTCTCAGGGCCACTCACATCAATCAGTAATGGAGCTTCGTTTCAATGATCCCAAAAACTCCCAATGCAGAAAAAGCAAACCTGGATCGAAAAACACACACTATCATAGATTGACTTGCCCAGAGATTCTTTATTGAAGCAGTGTGGGTCATCTTGACAAAGAACCTAAAAAAGCAACCATCTATTAAAGAAGAGCTTTGAATGTCCTTCAAGACGCCTGGAGAACTATTACTGAAGACAACTAAACGAAATGAGAAGAAAGAGATTTCAGACTGTGTCGAAGAATAAAGGTGGTTATCCTAAATATTAACTTTCGTTCGTTAGAAGTCATTTGTTTTTTTGTTTGTTTTTGTTTTGCGTGTGTGTTTTTATGTGTTTCATGAAGTCACCTATTTCACACTTTCCTAACAAAATATAAAGAAACGAGGAGTGGCTCGAGACTTTTGCACGGTACTGAAGGAGCCGCAGCCCGCGAGCCTTCGGCCCGCCTCCTTCAGTCAGCTGATTAGAGGCAGACAAAGTCAGTTGAGTTTCGAGTTAAATTTGTATTTTATTTTAAGCCTTTCTAAATATCTCCAAAGGAGTTCAGTGATTCAAATCTCCCAAACTCAGTAATAAATAAATAAATACAATTTAAAAATGTATGGTAAAATTCTTACCGACCCTCCTACTTCCTGTTATGCCAAACTGTAGTTCGTCATTTTGCTTCAGGTTCTTCCCTGGAGAGGATGTACGGAATTGTTTAAGAAAGTTTGGGACCTTTTTTTTCTTCTTTTTTACCTCCTTTTTTAAAATCCCGTGGAACCAGCAGGTCACTTTTTCTGTGTTTCATCCATGAGTATCTCTGTGCTGCTGCTGCTCGTCGCCGCACACTCTTCTTGCACAGGTAGGATTTGGATAAAGACGATCGTAGAAGAGTGGTTCGGGTGTGGATGGCTTTTTCACGCTCCAGTTTCCAAACCAGACATTAATATACTTGTTATAAAAACTGCCGGGGACGATCTCCGTGCAGCAGCTGCCTCGGTCAAAACGAGCCCGTTCAGGAAGCAGAAGTTGTCTGAGAATAGTCAGGGTTTAAAGGTTTCTTCGTACTTCAGTTGATTCACGGAAAGCTGCCATTAGATGGAATTACCGAACAAAGTAAATTCATGTTTACTTTGTTCGGTAATTCCATCTATTGTTAATGTGTAAGTCGATGTACTTCTCCAAAAATGCAGGCAAAGTATAGGTTATTATTGAGGAGTGACAATGTAACTTTACAGAAGCGCAAGAAAAAGGAGTGTAAAAAAAAAAGGGGGGGGGGGAAGGACCAAAAAATAATCTCCTCATTGGTCTGTGAGAAAAAAGAATAAAAAGGACACAACTTATAAGATCATAAAACATCCCATAATTGCGAGACTACAGCGCTATGTTTCGAAAAGAGAAGTCGGTATATCTGAGAATCAGAGATAACGATCTTCTTGTGTTTAACAGCGACGACTTTGAAGTCGGGCTTTAAGGCTTTAAAGGTCTGTCCCTGCTGGTTCTGTGTTAATGCTGCTAACATGAGTGTGATCTTCGGTCATCTATTATGTGCTAAAAGCGTCGACTTCAGTGAGCAGATGTTTGCATTTGTCGAAAGAATTAAAAGGTAAAAACAGGAAGTGGGTTTTGCTTCGATGACTGGCAGGGAGTGTTTCACTTCGCCGTGAGGAAATTGTGGCCCACTCACCTTTGGCGTTTTGCTTTAATCCCGTCAGACTGGAGGGTTTCCCAGCATGGACAGCTGTTTAAGGTCATGTCACAGCAATCGGATTTGAATTGATCATAAACGCTTTTTTGCAGTTCTTGCTGCCAAGTGTGAAACCGATTAAGAAAAGAAAAGATAAGATAGTAAAGTCTTTATTAGTCACAGAGATTGGACAAATATAATAAGAACATAAACTTAAATATGTGATTGAATATAGATTAGCATAATCTTAGGACAATGACACCATGGAAACAATATAGAAAAACATTGTACTGTCTTGTACTGTAGGTATGTGACTGCGGTTTGTGTGGGCGTGTGCAGAACAGTTAGACAGTGTTTGCTCTGAATGTTGACTTAACAGTTACTACCACAGTTTATCTACCAAAGCTCAACATGTGTTTGTTGCTGAAACTTCAAAAAGCAGCTTCAGTGACAGATTCTCACTGCCTGAGTTTTATCCTTTAGATTTCAGGGTCAAGTTCACAGGATGTTTAGAGTATATCAGTGGCATGTTTGGTAAACACCCCTCCCCCTTCCTATTAAACGTGACCTGTCATATTATTCATGTTGCATCCTGTAATCGTCTTTAAGTTCTGTTGAAGAAGTTGAAGGTAGCTGTAAATGTTTGTCTCTGCTCAGCTTGTGATCGTGCTGTGCAGACAGACTTGTGAAACTCCAGAGAGTTCAGCAGTTTCACAAGGACAAAAGTGCAGAAGTAGTCGACATCGAACAGACGTAAATGTATTTTCAGAAGTATTCTCATTGCACATGTGCATGACTTTTTACGTTGCTTTAACGATTTACAAGCCAGAAAAAAAACAACCCTTGAAAGATCATTTCCACATCCTTTCTTTCTAATGCAGATATGTGTTTAGAGCAGATAAAGTTAAAGAGGGTTTACTATTCTGAGCTTTATCTTCATGGTTTGGTTATTGAAGTCTTTTAGCACCTTTCCACACAAAATATCCCTTATTTGCAGCATCTTTATCTATTTTAGTCAGTTTTCTTCGACATCAAACAGAGCCAAGCTGAAAAACTGCCTAAAACTGAGTGTTTAGCAGCATCTGAAGCCACAGGCATTACTCATGCATACACATGCCCTATATGTATGAGTAATCTGTTGTCCTCTGGGTTTCTAATAAGAAGCTGCACCCTATAAATGTGCTTACTTTAAATTTAATAAAAAGGTTTGTGTGATGAGTAACTATATTGTTGCTACACAGATAAAAGGTGTTAGGAGAACTCTTTTTAAAACACAGTAATGACCTACTCTATGTTTTATACCTTTTTCTCTTCACAGGAACAGCGGCCTCAGCAAACAATGTACCAAAGATTGTAGCCTCTGCAGGTGAAACTGTCCTCCTGCCCTGCAGCATCACTGCTAGCGACGATGTACCAGCAGTGGAGTGGAGTAGGGAGGGTTTACCTCCAGATATTGCCTTCCTGTACCGAGATGGATGTGAGACCTTCGAGATGAAGAATCCAGTCTTTCGGTACAGAACAAACCTCATCATGAATGAACTTCACCATGGGAACCTGTCAATGGTGATATCCAACGTGCAGCAAAATGACAGTGGAAAATACCAGTGTGCGATTGTTAGGAACACGAAAACGGTCATCGCAAGAGTGGAGCTGTTTGTAGGTACGTCCACTCAAAGATTAGAGCTGCATTTAATCCCCCTAAAGTAATTTTCTTCACTTTGTAAGTCTGCATGCACCTCATGTTTTGTTTTATGTTTCTTTAAACAACTTGAGGAGTGCATTTCACAGATTTCGTTCTTTATTCTAAGCAGCAGTAACTGTCTGCAGGGACCGTTTCTGCAGACAGAGGGCATTTTCACCCACATCATTTGTGACAAAGGTTCTCTTGGGTTCAAATGCAGTCTTTAGTCATGTATCTCTATCTTAAAGCTCGGATGAGATTTCCTAATTGTTTCTCACAGTTTTCTATGGACATTTGAACTGAAATGTTGGTCATAGACAACAGCCTGAATAATGAATATTTTTGCAGGTGCTGTTTCTGAGCCGACACTCTCAGTTGTTCCAGATGTGGGAGGTGGACTGACTCTGCAGTGTGAAGCCAGGTGTTGGTTTCCTGAGCCTATGATTAGATTTCTTGATGCTCAGGGAAATGAAATCAGTGCTGAAGACCCAAAGAGAGATAAAGAGTCTTTGGGATGCTTCACAGTCAAAAGAAGAGTCACTCTGCAGACTGCTACCAACAGGTTTCATTACAGTATTAATACTCAAACTTAAATTGTTTCAATCTGGGTCATTTAGTTAAACTAAGTGGGATATGTTTTCAGGATATTTTCTGTGTGCACACTTTCTTCTTTTTCTAGAATAGCAAAGGAATAAATCCTAAATATGTGTCTTTTGATCACAGGGTCACCTGCAGAGTTCACCAGCCTGAGGTAAACCAGACCAGGGACTCAGAGATTTACATATCAGGTACACCAGAACTTTAACAAACACCTGGATGAATAAATAATTGATATTTAAATTAGATTTAGACTTAGATTAAAAACAGTAACTTGTTGAATCTCAGTAAATAACAATCAAATTTAACTATATTTTGGATGTTAAAAAACAAACGTGTTTAAGTTGTTAGTATATCTTCTAACATCGCATTACTCCTGCAGCTCAATGTATATGGGCTACAGATAAGCAATCATTCTAAATATTTATTTTAATATTTTTAAAGTTATTGAGATGAACAACAGCATGACATGTTACATTTTGTGATTATTTATTTAACAGAAGATGCATAAGCAACGTGAAACCACATACAGCCCATGAATCAGTAGTTTTGAAAACATTTTGGGAGTAATAGCTTGGTGTAGTTGCTTTTTGCATAACTTTATCAGTGTCTCACACTGTTTTGGTGGAGTTTTGGTCCACTCTTCTTCCCTACATTGTGTTGGTTGCTCCTGTCTCACCACAGCATTTGAGTCAGTTTGGTTTGTGGACTTAGACTGGGCCATTGCAACACCTTTTTCAGCCATTCTGTTGTAGATCTGCTGATCCTAAATTATACCAACTGAACCTTGGGGTGAATTTGCAGGGACATTTACTCCTGTTAGACTGGCAGCTGTCCTGAACTTTTTCAATTTGTCAATAATCTTTTGCACTGTGAAATTATGGACTTCAGGCTATTTTCAAATGGCCTTTTAACCTATGCCAGATTAATGATCAACAACAGTTGCCTCTATAAGCTCATTGCTGGAGTCCTTTTTTTTGCGCATTGATCTGACCTTGGGGAGAATTTGCTGGGATGTCTGCTCGAGGCAGAGTTGTTGCATTGTGTTAGCACACACTTGAATGCTCCAGACCTGCAGACCTGCTCATGATCAATTAATCAAGTGCATTTGATCAGGAGCAGTTGGCTACTTACCCTCTTAATTCCTATGAAGGCATTAAGGGTGTACTTTGGTTTTCCACAGACTGCTTTTGCATTTTGTCTTAATTTTTGTTAAATAAATAAAGACACGTTTTGTAATTCAATTATTTTCAAACTGTACGGCCCAGATCATATTTTTATATTTATATTACTATGTGTTGATATGTAAAGCCTATGTAAAGCCTAACATTTCAGTTAAAAGCAGCTTAGAAAACAAACTATGGAGATCATCTACTCGTGTAATTTTTATTTTATCCCATTGTTCGTGCTTGATCTTTTTTTTTTTAAATCATTTCAGATGAATGCATGAAATCCTCCACTCGAATCATCGCAACTGCTGTGGTAACGACCATCATGGTGCACACAGTAATCTGTGTTTTTACTGTGCTCTTTTTAGTCCAGAGAGGTTACTTGTCTGGTAAGTCATTATTTTTTCATTCACTAACTTTTGTCTTTGTTGTAAGATCAGTGACCGTCAGGAGTGAAAGAAGTGCTAACTGTATATTTTTTTGTGTTCATACAGTGGGAGGACAAAACTCGAGCTCGGAGAAAGACGAGATCAAGCGATTAACTAAAGAGCTGAACGACCTCAAATCCAGGCAGAGTCCAGCACAACAGTCCAGGCAGTCCTCAAATAACCCTAGATCCTCACCAGGCACCTCTGCATGTGGCATCCCACCCCCACCAAAGTCTCCCTACCAAAGCAAGCCCCTCAAGCCAGCATCCTCAGCCAACGGCAGCCATCCAAAATCTGGCACCTTACCCCAGACCAAGGACTCAAAACCTGTTGCGTTAGGACAAAATCCAGCACGCAGCCCACAGATGAGAAGAAGCAGTCACGGTGGCAGTTCTGCTGTCTCAATAACTAATGATGCTGTGTCATTCACTCCTCTAGATTCAAAAGAAAAGCCTTTTCCCCGTTCAACTAGTCTGTCTGTGAAACGGACTCATGGAGTCATTCCAAGGTCTCCGCGCAGGAATACTCTCTCAGGCATTTCTAACAACCCCTACGGTGTCCTGGCAGATTTATCTGAAGATGAAAATCTGATTGGATAAAGAGTGATAACTAAATGTGATCAGGCAGGTTTGAAATTTGTATAATTGAAACAAAACATCTCAGGTTAGTGACTGAATCTTAGTAAAAGCTGTCAGTTAGATGGGAGTTTGGGAGGTTTGGAAAAAAAAAAAAGGAAAAGTAACGTATGTGTACAAAATTCTTGATCCCACTGAGCCTCTAAAGCCGGCTGAATCATCAGCTTTGAGCAGTTAAGATCTCTGTAGCAGATTACTCTAAATCTTTGCAGGTTGAGAGTGATCTATATTGTAATAGCTGTTACACAAGGCTGCCTATAAGAAACGTTTTAATGTAATCTATTTATAAAATAGAAATTTGCAATAAGTTGTTGATCACTACTATTCCTGCAAGATGCTGACATTCAGTCACAGTATTTGGGTCAGATTGACCCTCATTTACTAGTTTATTAACAGCATGTAGACACAAATCTGTTGTGTGTGTTTTATCCCCATTCCCATATAGTTTGTTCATACTTTATGAACAAATAAAGGCAAGCACTGCCAACATTTAAAATGAATACTATTTTACCACTACTACTATTTTTCTTTTACTTGAGCCACAGTGAATGTCTCAGTTCAATGCACTTAATTTTTATATTTATGTAGTACAAAATCACAGCAACAGATTGCCTTAAGGTGCTTTATATTGTAAAGATCCTACAATAATATGAAAGTGTGAATTATATTCAGAGCCTCTGTTACTTCAGCCTTACTGCTTTTCCATCACTTTGATGGAAAGCACAAATGCTTTAAGTGTTTACTTTTCACTCTTGGGACTTTGTTGATGGGAATTAAATTCTTGTTGTTTCACACTTTTCTCTTTAATGTGATGTTTATAAATGATGTCATTTTGCATTTGTGTTTCATTACAGCAATTTGACTGATGGGGTTTTGTACAGTTTCATGGTATAAAAGTTAAATTTGTTAAAAAATTGATCGTGCTGCAGTCTTTGTGCATTAAAATGAGACTAAATAAAACCAGAGTGCTTCCTGTCTATGAGCAGTATATTATTGAAAACTTTGCAAGCTGCAGATGAAAGATTGAAAAGTTTGAAGTTTTATTATATTCATAGGAACAAACACTTGATCATCTTTGATCCAGTAAGAATTGAGGTCTTCCACATTTAGTGTTATCAAATAAGGATGCTTTTTTTGGTTTTTTTGTAAACATTTATTTTTACACTGTTCAAAAAAATCAAAGGGACACTTTTTAAATTGATATTAGAATCATGTCAGAAAGTTAATTTACGGCACCTTACTAAAGGCAGTAGTAATAAGGTAACAATAACATCTCTCTTTCTATGACCCTACATCAAAAAGTCCTCAGTGGACATTAAAGCTGGACCTCAGTGGCATTTTGGACACTAAGCTGATATTGTCAGTAGATGTCAGGCTGACACAGGGCAAGAAAGACACACACTCACATTCAAACATACTCTACACACTAACATGATACACATTGTTATTTGGTTGAAATATTAACCCTTTGTGTTGTGAATTAACTGCTTATATTATTTAAACCTGGCCCTTCATTCTCTGTGTGTGCAAACTAACATTGTTTTAGTTGTTTTACACAACACAACCTTAACCATGAATACAATAATTTTAAGAAATCAACATTAACTGCATCTGTTTAATTAGCTGACAGAGAAATGTGTGAGAGAGAAAAGTGGTGTCACACTTCTCCAAGTTGACTTTTATTAGTAGGTGCTGTGTTTGAATCCTCCATGAAGCTGACAGTTGTTTTTAATCTATAAAGCATATTTGTATGCTCATGCCTGACTGCTGAGAGGAGCTTAAAAATAAACACTTTAGAATTACAAAGTTGCAATATTTTCACAATACTTTCCTGCTGTTTAAATCATTTTAATGTACATTTATCTGTTGCCTGCCGATATAATCAAACACATGAATCTTAATTAATTTATGTTGATTTATGAAACACACAAAAGAGCCTTCCTTACCTCCTTTAGGATGACAAAATCACATAAAAACACAACTTAATGTCCCACTTTTCCCACTAACACTACCTTTTTTTTCATTCAAATCTATTGACTTCTTGTTTTTGAGCCTTGTAAATGATGAAGTTTGCTACATAAGCCTGAAATATGTTGACAGCTTTGGTTGTGTGTGCTGTAATTTGCAGTTTCTTATTTCAGTTTCACTGTATTGTTTTATAGCAGTGATTTACCTCAGAGTCAGAATCATGGTTTGCACAGGGCTTTGCCAGTGAGTTCAATTAAAGCCTCACACTATAAGTTCAAGCTGCTGATAGCAGAACAGCTGCACTGGTATAATGTTAATGAGATTGAATCAATAACTGTTTTCTGGAATAATAGAAACTGTATCATGTTCATAAGCCAGTTAAAATGTGGACAACTCCTTTAATCGCAGCACACTGGTCGACAAGAGATGTGCAAACTATAAGAAACTCTGACCTTAACACTGACCTGTAAATCATTCAAGTATTATAAGGCTCAAAAATCAAGAGATGAACCAGCGTTAAAACAGAAAGCAGACAGAAATACAGAAAGCACTTAGGTGTTAAAAAAAAGTTGCGTGTATGACTGCGTGTGAATGGATGAATGAGTCATATTGTACTGTATAAAGCGCTATACCATCCAGCATTACAAAGATACTTTCATATTAATGATTATTAATGAGCTTATAATAGATGATGTAAGGAAACCTACCTGTATAAGAGGAAGTACTTTGATTGTTGATCTACTAAGCGCTATATAAATGTGTGTAAAATTATCAGACTGCATGATGAAATTATGGCCCTGATCCCGCCTTCTTCTCGGTTTGCGACTTGATCTACAACAGTCGAAACTGTTCCGCTTCGTCTGTGTCGGGCTGCTCTCTGAAGAGGAACCATGGACGAAGTCAACAAAGTTTGTTTTGATGCCTGTTTGAACAGGTCGCTGTGGTTTGTCCGCCTGCTCCTGCTCGCCGCTGTCCTGTCCTCATCTCTTTGTACAGGTGAGATTTATGGATTTATGTTTTCGGCGAGTCACTTTACAAATGTTAACACAGAGTCGCTGTAAAAGTGCGTATCTGTCTACCTTTAATGCCTTTGCTAAAGTTTCTGTATTATTCTGTATCGAAGTTCTGACGATAAAAGCAGGATGT